AAGAGAGACGTAATTACATGCTTCGTTACTTCACGATTTGGGCAGGCATGTAATTTTGCGGAGGATTGCCGTTTTTTCTGATATTTCAATTAAACAGTCGAAGAAAATCATTTGAGAATTGGACACCACTTCAATGACCCCTGAACTTTTCACCGGGTTGTGTGTGTGTTGCTCATGCAGTGACTATATTTACATTTGACCCCTCACCTGGTGAATCCCGGGTCCAGTCGCTTGACTTACAAGCTCGTGCGCATGTTTGGAGTCCAAATTTGGCGCTTTTTCTATATCTTCACTCCCAACATCGTGATGAAACTGTAAAATGTTTAAGGATTCTCTAAGAGGTGGCAATTTATTTCAGTCTCTTCCCAAATAATTTCCCATATTTCACGCAGAAATTTCTGTACACATATCAGTGTCAGACAGCAAGAGACGCCACAACAGAGACTCATTTTTTCCCCAGTCCAACACTCATGCGGAGACACACGACTATGGAGCACACGTGAAATTCTCCTCTTGTTATGAGCAGCAAATTTAGGTCAATCATTCACCACACACAATTTATTTTTTCCACGCGGCAGCACGAGTGACTCACACTCGTGGTATTTTATTTTATTGCTATATATATACTAAATTCACAGTATTTAATTCCATTTGGAAACTATCAATTTTCTCTGGCATCGCGCGCGCCTCAAAGAAATCCATCCATAGTGTGTTTGAAATGCGTCCGCGAGACTTTTGTTGCCAATTCCACTGAGAAATCTCGCGCAGATTTTGTCCACCCAAGAGATAATTGTTGACTGGTGGAAAACAAACTTCTATCGCTTCGAGATCCACTGATTTATGGCGCATTCGCAAAAGTCTGCATAATTTCTCATAAATACGCTGAATAATTTCTGGCCTTATCACTTCACACCACAAGCAAGTTCTCAGGCTTCGAGCAATTTAAAATATCAAATATAGAGTCAATATTGTGTATCGGATGGAAAAGGTCAATGATATAAATCATAGGTCTGCCAGTTCGCCAAAGCTCAGGTAACAATAGGAAGTGATTTTCCATCTGAATTCCTTTCCATGGCGCGCATTTGCATAAAATATAGATGAAATTTTGAAATAAAAGAAGAGTGGCAATTTATGCGCACACACTTTTGCTAAATAAGAGATTCTGAGACAGGAATTTCAACCTTCAAATTTCTTCAAGAAATCTCTGCGGAGACACATAATTGCCTCAAGAGCGCGTATAATAACAAAATTCTGTCCACGAATGATGAATTGCCGTGTATTTATATCTGGCAAATTGTTTTATTGCCCACAAAAGTGGACTAGAGAACACAAAAGCTGAGTGCGAAATCAAATATCCCAGAAGAATAAGAGTTTGTGTAGATCAGAAAATATTATGAATATTTTATTTTCCCAGGTGTGAGAATTTGTCACTCGCTAAGTTCACACTAAATATCATATCAAACACTAAAATCGGTAACTCTATATTTGCTACTCATCGCGCAGAGTCGCGGAGAAGCAAAACTGCCAAGATATACCGAAAAAAGAAGTGCCATAAAAAGCAAAACGCAGTGTGAATTTGCTATAAAAGCCGTGCATTTTTTTGCACATGTGTCAATATGAGGAATAACAAATTGATATGCAAAACATAATCGATTGGAATTCCTCATACGTTTCAATTTAGTTATTTTTCTCCTATTTTTTTCTCTCTCCTCCACTGCTCGCAACTACAGTTAAAATATGTAGATTAATAAAGAATTATCCAACAAACAAAACGTGATGGAAATACACAAGAGCGATATGAGACAGAATTGGTAAAAAGAGATAGATATAATTCAATGTCAAGTTCTCTTATAGACGAAAAATATTGCTCAATGAGCTTTATTGGGTTTGTAAAGCAATGAGAAAAAGATTTATTGTCTGTTTTTTCGCCTCTCCGTTCTGCCGAAACTTCAATTGCGGCATAATGTGGCGAATCTAACAATGAATCTGGACTGCGATCGAAAATGAATTTGTCGTAATTAGAAATGTATTTTGGAGGCCTCCAATTGGCCGCTGCAAAAAGCCGCGCCGCGGAATTGTTTTTAATTTCTTTTCATAATTTACTCAGCCGCATGCTCCACAAAAGCCTCAATAGAGAAGTTGATTTAGCCTCCAATTGCATTGAAGGTTGATCTGCAGTTGCTTTTCCATGCGATCTGGAAAAAATTTTCGTTCCGCGTTGGAACTAAAAATATCTTTTAGCGCCAAATCGAATCCGTATTGAAGTCTCTTTAGAAGGAAATTGAATTTTTCCCATGCTCTGAAATGGTAACTTGAAATCACCCGCGAAATTTATGCCGGTCGAGTCTCAAACTATTGGCGTTCTTTAAGCTCTGGCTAAAGGGGGATCGAGAGTGAGTCATCGTGGCAGAAATAGAGACAGTCATTCAAGACGATCTGCAAACTTCCTTGCTTTGCATATTTTTGCCACTGCGAAAATCTCAGATTATTCAAATTTATTCCCAAATTCGCTGGCCAATCAGAGAACATCTCTTTTAGAGGCGACAAGACAGTGATATTTATTCACATGTAGAGCCCAAGGAAGGAAAAGACATTAATTTGTGAGCGCCTTCGAAAATGGAAAAGTCCTTCGAGAATCAATTCAGCCAGCTAACTGTAACTCAACAGTATCAATTAAAATCTACAAACAGCACTTACCAGAGATATTCTAGAAGTCACGAAGAGTCAATTGATTTGACACGGAAGTAATTGAATTCTTATTGTTATTTATTGCATCAATTGCAGATCAATCATCACATTATTATCTTATGTTACCACGTGCCTCGCATCAGCTCTCTCTCTGTCTCTCTCTCTCTCTCTCTCTCTCTCTCTCTCTCTGTCTCTGTCTGTCTTGTTTCCTGGCATTTTTGATTATTATCCTCTCAGCCATAAACCAACCTTATAAATCATTCATAATCAGCTTAACGGAAGGGTAATTTTATCGTGGTAGTTGAGAAGATAAATCTGGAATCAATATTTTGCCCAAGAAAATTGACTCCAAAATACGATATCGTCTCTAAGATGTGTCATAAGGATCAGAAACAACGTCATGCTGACCTCAATTTGCTCAATCTTAACCGTCACAAGTTCCCAAATTGATGTTTGCTCAATCGTCCCTTGTTAAGCAAAGAGACCAAGGCGTGAAAGGTGGCGTTTGCAATGTGTGGCTTTGAACCGCCAAGACAGATTGCCACTCTATCGAGGATATCCACATTCCATCATATTATTCTCGTGCAAGAGGCATTATAATCTGCGAAAGAGCAAAGAAATTGACCGTGTTGTGTCTGACGAACAAGCCTAAACAAAAGAGCTCAGGCACACCAACACTTTAGCTGTTTTGCACAATAAATTGCGACTTTGTAGCAATTATTAATTATTTATATGACAATAACCGGACATTGAGTTCTTGTATTTGCTCTCCATCAAAACCGGGTTCGTCGCCTAAGTCTTTCGTTGTAATCTATTGCTTAACCTCTGGGAGAGAAATTCACACACAATTGACCGAAGAAGTTGTAATCGATTTTGCCCTCTGCAAACTTGTGCCCTTAAAGTCATCGTATTTAGGTTTTGCGGTTTCATCGACGAGAATCTTGTTTACCAGCAATCGAAGGCCAAGAGGCAGCGTGGAAAGTATCATGTATCAATTGCACTCTGATAAGGTGATTCGCGGAGAAATGCGCATTTATCTTGCAACTTAATTATCAAAGTGACAATAAATAACGAGGGTTTAGTGGCACATGAGTATTTCAATTCGCATTTTATTTTATTTTATCCCTCTGCCGAACACCCACGTGAGAACGCCAGGAATATATGTTACTGTCTTGGCATGGCAGTACAATGATTACCTCTTGTGGCTCATCATCATTAACGACTCGGCGACTGATGTTATTCATAAGGAATACAATTGACTATTAATCCCTTGACCCCATAAATATAGCAAAATCGGCATTGTGTGGTGTATTACATTGAAATGGAAACGATGGATCTGTGTGGCATAAAATATGATGAAAGATTATCTCAATTCAGCGTGTATTAATATTCAAAAAGAATGCGTTAACTTTCTTCCATTCACACTCGCGCGGTGCAGGTTTCTTTCATGAAGAACTTCACATGCAGGAACTTCGGCACACGCGGTGCAATTGCAATACGGCCACACTGATCGCCTCGCAGTCGATCCTCAAGTGGTCTCTATACCAATTCGACCGAGTGTATTGGAAACAAAACATTCGTTTACTTCTTGTAGCAATAACATAAAGACAATAAGTAAGTTTTGCATTCGGCACGTTCTTCCTTCATCTCGCCTCCTTTCTTCGCTCACCCCTGATGGCAGAGGAAAACACACGCACACAATATATACACGAAAATATTGATTACTTTTCACGTGTGCAGGAATGTGTCTCTCTCTCTGTCACATGAATATGCGGTTTACCCCAAGTGACGGGCGGTGAAGTGTGGGTGTGAGAGGTGGTGAAATAAAAGAAAACATTCCATCGGAGACACGGTGATGAATAAATTGGCGGCAAAAACATTTCACTGCAATGAATTCATTTACTTAAATTGCCACTGATTGTATTTCCAACTTATTTGCACTTCAGAGCATGCATTGTGAAATGATTGCGATGATGTGAGTGAGAAGATAATGTCATTCAGTGGTGTATCTCGTGGTGATTCTTTTGCCCATTCTGTGCATTTTCGCCTCCTCTCTGTTGTGATGGAAAAACATGTTAGGAAAAGAGTCGATATTGGAGAGAATTTTGTTGACTAGCCTCTGCCTGGGCGATTGCAACAGTGCCAACCAGAGACAATTTTCTGTAATTCACCACGAATTTGCCATTTGAAATTCTATGAAAGCTCAGCTTTCAGCAACATTAGACAATATAGCGTCTGTGCATGCGCATGATGACCTGCGAAGAATTTGGCGCGACACTAATTCCCATCACTCTATGCTCTGGTGTTTGCAGGTGAAAAGCCGTACACGTGTCAGTGGCCAGAGTGCGAATGGAGGTTCGCGCGATCGGACGAGCTCACCCGCCACTACCGGAAGCACACGGGGGCCAAGCCGTTCAAGTGTGTGGTCTGCGAGAGGAGCTTCGCCAGGAGCGACCACTTGGCGCTCCACATGAAGCGGCATCTGCCGAAGAGCAAGTAGAGAGGACACCAGGCGTCTCCACCGACAATTTACTACCGACTTTTATGCATAATGACAAAAAAGTAATTTTAACAATCTTCACAGCCTCTCTCAATAATGGTAATTTCCTCTGTTTTGTCTCTCTGTCTATTAATTTTAATTGCTAAATACCTCCACGAGCCTCGACCTTAAAATGGGACACAGTCGCTCTCCAAGATGCGGTGTGACAATTTTCGCCACAAGAAGCACACCTTATCATCAGCAATCAAGTACAAATTTTGTTGTTTGCTTCTCACAGCCAACTAATCTTGCAAAAGAGAAGAAATCCATTTTGCTGTCCTATGACTGAAAGTCACTCCAAATCCGGACAAATCCGCGTGCGGAATTGTTCTCTGGAATATCACGAAATTATATCTTTCTATTTTCCCATTGACGCCTTTTATTAGGTAGTATTTCTCACCTGCTACCCGTGCAAATTCTCTTTAGAGGCAATTTTACAATCTGAGAAGTCTTTTTTTCACTTTCATACCTTTGCTGCACATTTATTGCACACTGTGGAATGCAAAGTGCAACGTGACCATTAAAAATTCTTCTCTTTTTGTATATGTGTGTGTGTGTGTGGAGAAAAGAAAAACCTCTTCATAAACCCAAGTGTCTTCTCTTTACTCCTTAGCAAGCGCCTAACAATCATTTTATTGTCAATGGTTTATTGAATTTACACAGTGCGAATCTATTTTACACATTTATCACTTTTTGCCTCCTTTTTCCCACCTTCGTCTCGCTCCTTGTTCTCCTCCCGCCCATCAAGAACTAACTGTTAACTGTGTTACATAAATTAATAAGCCCAATGCGAGAGCATTGAAAAGACAGCAAGTTACTTAAATGCGTGTACACACCAAAGAGATTGCCAATACGGCGATCAATGATGATGGTGAAGAAGGTTGGACAATTTCCTCATATTTCTGCACTTGTCGTGCAGTTCTGTCCCTGTTTTCATTGTACAATTCTCTATTGTTTGAATCTTTCATGCTTCCCACTTTGGATCGTCCCGACAAAATTACTCAAGTCTCGAGCGATGCTCATCTCAAATGCCCTCAAGCAAACTTATCTAGCAATAGTCTCAATGTCAAAACCCCTCAAAAGCCAACCTATAAGTAATTTACTAATTAAAATAAATTGCATGTGAGCACAGTTGTGAGTGAAGTCTTTTCCGGCAAAGCCACAAATATACGCATTAGAAGATGAAGTAGAAGAAAGAAAGAAAAAAATCAAAATATCACTGTGACTCGATGTGTTACCATTTCTGTTGACTCTCAATTTTGTAATTTGTACAAGTGCAAATTTGCATAATTAGTTAATTAATTATTTTCGCACCAATAAGGCCTCTATCAATCATTGAGCACACTTTACAAACACATAGTGTACGCTATTCAGCTGAGAAAGATTATATTTAAATGCAAATGTACTGTATAATTTGTATATAAGCGTTTCAGTGTAGGAAAAGTCCGCGCTTTTCACATCACAACAAAAAAGTATGCTAAAGAGCTGAAGGAAAAAATAAATGGTTCAGAACTTCAAGGTTAAAATAAGGAAATCAAAAGAGAAAAACAAGCTGAAATTTATCAAATGCGACTTGACATTGTTACACTGAATGTTTCAACTCGAAAAGAAGGAGTTTTTTCAATATTATTTTACGTGTGACTTAGAATGTAATATCTCTACTTTATTGATAATATATTATTTTGTACATATGTAGAAAATCGTGTTCTTAGATGCCATTAAGATATTGTAACTTAAATATCTCTCCTTTTTCCTCTCCTTTTAGAAGAGAAGCCCATTTTTCTAAAGTGCTAAGCAGTTAAAACTATACGCAAAGAACAATATTCCTTTTAATACTGTATGTTTAATGTAATTAGGTATCTCTTAATTCTTATATATGAAAGTATTACATATTTTCATTGTATGTCCATCTAAGTGTAATTATGTATCTCAATTTTTCGTGGTAATAGAATTTTATTAATGTGTGTAAATGCAAGATTTTTTTCTTTGCCATAAAATATTTTTTCGATTTATAGACATTTCTTTCAATAGTGCAAAATGATCATTTGTATCATCCCAGAATCATTCTTAATAAGTATCTGTGTTAGATGGTAAAAAAAAGTAATGTAATTGAAACAATTTGCAACCCAAAAATCTGTGAAAACTTCTCAAAATCTATACTTTGTGCATTCCGCCGTGAGTGACATAATAGTGTATTCCCAGAGTTTATTAATCAATAGATATTGATGTCTACTGAATTTAGAAGAGAAGAGAAAGAAAAGTGAGTAAAATAAAGTAAAATTACATGTCTAATGAGACTTTTCCTCGGTCGACTGAATGTGAAACAAGTTTCCCGGATCACGGAGCGCTTGTCGCTGCGCTTTTGCCATTCTTGTGCAATATGACACAGAGTATGATGTGATTGTTCACCAGCAGCGACACAACAAACACACCATCGCATCGGTGCAGTGATAGTAAATTACACAAGATCGAATTTACTACAGACTGACAGCAGAGGTAAGGGCTGAAGTGCTTTCTTAATTAAACACTGCACAAGAGAGAGATTAAGAGATTGTCTTATTTTTCCCCGTGACTACAAATTATGGTGTAATTTAATGTAATTTAAAAGCAGTTCCCTGCGACAACTGCTAATGGAGGGAAAAGTGCATGCGAGCCCATTGAGATGCAGAGAAATTACCAACTTGTGTGGCTTATCCATTGGCCCCAAGTCAAACGCTTAAAAGTCACTCTGCGCAAACATCACTCGAACATCGTGCCCAATCGCTTGATAGGAGCTGAATCGATTTGAATAAATATGACTGCTTAATGAGACAATATCGGTGCTTTCTGCTGCTCCACCGCCAAATGTCACCCAAATCACTCGATCGCGTCTTTTACCGCGGAGAGACACTCTTGGAATCCGTGGTGCAATGCGAGAGGAAATTATCTCTGCAATTGACACGCTCGTCCAACACCAGAGGAGGCGACATTCTCCAACTGGACCGCGTGCACGAGACGAAGAAGTGGCTCGTATAAATCTTCTAACAAATCATATTCACTGACCCACTTCCAGCTGGCGTGGCAATAAATTCCTGCAAAAGCGCCAGAGAATTTTATCCGGACATTTTCAGACTCCGCACACACTGTGTGTAATGAGTTGAGCTCTAAGGGTAATGCTGGTAATCATTAAAAACCAGCCGCAGACCCTGAAAATGTGCCATCAGAGAATGTTGACTGCAAAATTGTGTGCTAGTCTCGAGATGAAATTCCATCTCTAAAACACCACACTTTATTATGAATTGTCAAAACGACTGGAAACACGTACTTTTTACCTGATTAATGCAAGCTCCACTAATTGGACAGTTCTTTGGGTCAAGTTGTTGTATTCGACGTGTAAACAAAAATCCGCCGCAGAGTCAATTTTCCTGAGACTGCAACACGTCGCGGATGAATGATGAAAAGATTGTGCGAAATTGTGCAAAATTCTCCCAAAGAGACTAAATAGAGACACGCCACAGCCCATCAGGTAATAGACTCCTTTTTAATGTGAGAATTTATTATGTGGTGTAATTTATTTTGAATCTCATGGACAAGCACGAGTGACATTTAGCTCGATACAGTGCACAACAGCGACTGCGGCGAGAGATAGGATCTCTCAGGTGATACTGGCGAGCACCTGTACTCTCTGCAGATTCATTTTTCATTTCGCTAGGTGTTGAAAAGATCCAGGAAATGTACGACTTGGAAGGTTCACAGGGAAGATTTTGCGCCCAGATTTGATAGATTTTCCATCGCAGAGCGATTCCAAGTTGCTGTTCCTTCGACAGGTGAAGTGAACTGAGAGTTTTGTATCAATCCAAGATTATCGCCGACGTTTATTCGCATGAGCAATGCAGGCTTAATAAATATGTTTAAGCCGTGTCAGTGTAATGGGACCCAATAACGTCAAAAATCGCAATTAAAACAATATTTATAAATTGATCGTGCAATATCATTGATGACCTGCAGTTTTATTATTCCACTTATACGCCATCAATGCAATCATTATTGTCTGTAACTAACTAAGAAAATATTATTAATATCGTAGTTTAGTGCTGATAATATTCCATGTCATAAGTGCGCAATATTTGTTATTTCAATCTAAAAAGCATAATACTAATTTACTGCCTATATTTAGTGCTTTAATCTGGAAAAGTCGCAGTTTTGTGATCTTGTTTGCAACCGAGTTTCCTGATTAAATTAAATCACCCTGAACTGTACTGTTTCCAATACGAGAAATCAAATGCATTGGCGCAAAAATATGAGGTGAAATCCATTGATTAACTATTGTTTGGCATGCAACCTTTTCACAGCTCACCACTTTGGCTGATCCCACACTCGAAAAACATTGTTCTTCAGGCGCGTTCTTCACTGGATGAGAGACAAGCAAAGACACGATAAAGATGAACCGCACTTTTGGCTCTGCCATCAAACTGAAATGTGTTAGGAAAAGGCAACATGCTGTGCATAAACTGCATAAATTATAATCAGATTACTCTATAAAACATGTTGTTTAATTAAACTTTTCTAGGACATTCACTTCATCATTCACGGAATGAATATTTCAATAAAAAGAGGCGAGATTCGCTCCTGAACAGCATTTGTTGTTATTTCGGTGTTAATTCTCAAACATTAAATTGCGATGTTCTTGAAAGTGTCACAGTGTGTAAAGTTTTATATTACTTGAGAGTGCATTCATTTGTTATGGTGCTGCACTGGCAATAGAGACCCTTGCGTTACATTTTGCGCACTTATCAACAAATTTACGATGTTGATGCCGAAGGTGGCTCACTGCTTATGGTGACACGATACAGCAAAATCACATTTCAGATACATTTCGCTCAATGCCGATCCGCGAGCGACCAGAAGAGACTCTCTGAAGAGTACTTCAATCAACATGCAAAACAGTGTTGCGCCTCGCCAATGTGTCGATAATGGACAATTTTTACCAAACACATTTGGTGTATAAATGCCCATAAAATACATTGAAAAGCGTCAATTCCGCCACTTTCAGTGACAATTCACTTTTTCACTGAGGAAAGTGTCAACTACAAGATTGCAAATTTTTCAATTGAATAAGGAGACAATATTGATTGACAATAAATTGTAAAATCTATTTAGAGTAATTATTATTCAGTTTGAATTAATATGCGTGTCAAATGGCATTTATTTTATTAACTGCTAAAATGATATATTGTGATTTCAATTGCATTTAAGATATAACCGTTGATATGGAAACTGTGTGATGGAGAGAAATATATAAGGTTAGAAATTTTTAATGAACAATAAATCAATAAAGTCAATTTGTTCTTTTCTCTCTCTGCCCAGTTAATTAAAGGAAAAATGCCACACATTTTCCCGGACATAAATAATACACTATGGCGTCCTTGGTGTGTTGGGAAAGGATACTGTTCTTCCGGCTTTTACTCCTCCCACAATTTCAAGCAATCCATCAAAGCTCTGTTTTTGTGCCATTTCAAATTAATTACCTTGACTAAATTTTAAAACACACAAGAGTGACGAGAGAGCAGCCAAGATATTTTTCCATATGTGTGAAAATTATGGCAGAGAGGAGGAAATCACGTAGACATAACTGTAGTGTCTGCTAATTAGAAGAAATTAAAATCGATCATTTGCATGAAAATCGTATTTTCTCGCACATACTTCGCCATTCACACCATTCGCGAGAGTGTGGCATACCAAATGATGTGGCCATCACTCGTGCAGCGCCACGAAAATTCATGTATAATGTGACAAATAAGATATTATATTATTCCCACCACCACCACAAGTCGCAGCACAATACAGCAAATTATACTAAACGCCTTAAACTCTTCATAATATTTAATATCCACACTTCGCATGGGTTCACTTGGGCATTTGAACTTCTATACATGGTGCACAAATTTGTGCCTCAACAAATTGCGACAGCTTAGGAGTCTTAAAATGACAAAACATATGTTAATGGACGTAAAACATTGTCATTTGGAATATTTGCAAAATAAACACTGGGGGTAGGCATTCATAAATAATTTATGTTATAATTTTCACGATAATGCTCGTGATTAAAGTCGGAGAATGTTGATATTCATGATTATCGCTTTAATGAGAAATCGCCGTGAGAATGCATAAGATCAATATTGATACAAATGCAGTTTTGAGTGATGAGAATATTCGCGGCTTTCTCAGATTCTTTGTCAATCTGTTCGCCGGTCTAATCCACACGATATTGCGCACGATATGTGTCTTGTCTGTGTGTTTAATGGCCAACTGCCGAACATGCCTTTCTGGCACGGCCACTTAGCAAAAGATAGATAAAGCCTTTATGCTTCTATGCAGAAAAAGCCAAGAAATTTGTCTCATTTGTATTTAATAGGAGTCGAAGTGAGCTCAGATACTGCCAAGTGTGAAAGTGTTACAAAAGAATGTCTGTGGATTACTTAAAAAGTTGTCGCATTTTGCGAAAAAATTCTCGAGACTCGCCAGCAACCGGTAAGTGACTAAGAGCATAGTTGTGGGTGATCGCCGTGGCATACCGTGAGTCTGTCTCTGTCGTTCGCACTCTCACTCCTTGAGATCAAATGGAAGTGGTAGTCCTTGAAATAGAATTGCTTCTCGCACTTTTCGTATATAAATAACAAAAAGACCGAGAGATCGTTACCAAATGACTGCAGTTTAGTAAGAACATGGTGAGAAGTGCGAGGAAAAAAGTGGAGTAAGTCAGCGGCAGTGGCGTTAATTTATTACTCTTCTCCTTATTGCAACTTAATCAACAAATTGTGGGAGTTTTTCCGCATTTCAGCGCTTATCGCGGAACACACTTATTTTTTCCCCTCTATTGAGACTTTGCAATAAATTACAGCGCGCGCATCTTCGATGACTTCCCAAAATCACAATTTATGAGATTTCCATTTGAAGACATGAGAAAAAGACACGAGTTTTACCTAATAAAATTTTTCTTTATCGTATTTATCCTCAAACACGCTGAAGGCTCTCCCAATGCAAATTCGCTACCTTTTCGTGGCGATGGAATTGAGCTTTTATCTGATGTGGCACTTGTAATTATTCAACAACACTTCAGATATACAACAAATATTTCAAATAATCTCAAAATCACAAGTATGCAAATTAGGGATAATTTAAAACGCATTCCATGAGACTTATTGGATATGTTCTTCACGAGCAGATACACATTAGTTAATAGGAGTTGCATCAGAAAGAAGCTGTTGTGGCGATAAATGAGCAGGAGAAATATATAGATTGAC